TTTATTTTTTTGAGACAGAGTCTCACTTTGTTGCCCTGGCTAGAGTGAATGGCATCAGCCTAGCTCACAGCAACCACAGACTCCTGGGCTCAAGCAATCCTCCTGCCTCAGCCTCCCAAGTAGCAGGGACCACAGGCATGTGCCACCATGCCTGGCTAATTTTTTTTTTCTATATATATTAGTTGGCCAATTAATTTCTTTCTATTTATAGTAGAGACAGGGTCTCGCTCTTGCTCAGGCTGGTTTCGAACTCCTGACCTCGAGCAATCGGCCTGCCTCGGCCTCCCAGAGTGCTAGGATTACAGGCGGGAGCCACCGCGCCTGGCCTAGGTATAGGTCTAGAACAGAGGTGGGGAAACTTTTCATGTTGGAAGGCCACATTAATTTAGCTTTAATCAAATAAGGCCACATTCAAGAAAATCAATTAGATATAAATAAAAATGTATATTGGCCGGGCGCGGTTGCTCACGCCTGTGCCAAAAAGGTTGGGGACTGCTGCTTCAAATGACTTGCATATATCATCCTGCTCATCAATGACCGCTGCTAACTGGAGAAAATGTTCATCAAAAATTTCCTTTTGAGGCTGGGCATGGTGACTCACGCCTATAACCCTAGCACTCTGGGAGGCCAAGGTGGGAGGATCACTCAAGGTCAGGAGTTCATAAACCAGCCTGAGCGATAGTGAGACCCCGTCTGTACTAAAAATAGAAAGAAATTAATTGGCCAACTAAAAATATATAGAAAAAATTAGCTGGGCATGGTGGTGCATGTCTGTAGTTCCAGCTACTCGGGAGGCTGAGGCAGGAGGATTGCTTGAGCCCAGGAGTGTGAAGTTGCTGTCAGGTAGGCTGATGCCACAGCACTATAGCTAGGGCAACAGAGTGAGATTCTGTCTCAAAAAAAATAAAAAATAAAACAAAATTTCCTTTTGAAGGAGAGGTATTTTTTAAAAAGGTAGCTTCTTTCCAAAATGCTTGAATTTTTTTGCCACATGCCATGTATAGACTTAGTTTTACCTTGCAAAGAAATATTCAAGTCATTTTGATTTGACATGAGATCACACAGAAATGTTGCAGTCCTATAGAAATCTTCTTTCAATAATTCTCATTGCTGATTCTGCTCTTTGTAGAATTTAACTATCTATTCTTGCAGAGATAAAATTTTGGCTAACATCTGTCCTTACAATAGATAATGCACTCTAGAACAATACAGCAAGTCCACATGGAATACCTCATGGTTCAACGTTGGCATTTTACAAAACTGATGATGCTGCGTTGCATTTGCATGAATGTAGTTAAAATTACTTACAGCTTGTTGCAAAGTGTCACTTAAAGTAGTAGCTTTAGCACAGCGATTTTGCTGGTGCAAGATACAGTGAAAAGAAGTGAGAGCATCTGGATCTGTTAATACTTTCTTTTATCTGTGCAATAAACCCTTCATGTTTTCCTGTCATGGAAGGTGCACCATTTGTACATACACTCACTAAATTTACCAAATTGAGTCCAACTTCATGACATTTATCTTGAAAGTTGTTGAAGATATCTATTCCTCAAGTTCTGTTCGCAAGAGTGCCCAAAGCAAGTAACTCTTCATAGCAAAGAAAATCTTCTGTTTTGACCCGAATGAAGTATAAAATCTGTGCCAAGTTGGTACTATCAATTGATTCATCCAAAGCAATTGAATAATATATATTTTCCTCTTGAAGTATTATATGAAGTTCTGTTAAGTTGAAGTATAACTCATGCTGCCAATCAGTTATGGCTCTTCTTGAAAGAGGCAGTCGTTTATACTTTGAAATGTTATCAGGGTCTAAGCATCCTACAACTTTGACAGTGCATTCTTTCACAATTTCTATATTACTGAATGGCTTCCCTTTTTTCCCAAGTATATAAGCTACTTTCAGTTAACATTATCCTGGAACTCACACCATATAAATGCATAAGAGATCTTCCTCATTCTTTGTTATAGCTACATAGTGCTCCATTTTGTGGCAGTAGCATATTTTTTTCAATCACTCTCCTAGTTATGAGTATTTAGGCCATTTCCAAGATTTCGCAATTACAAACAATGCTGCAGTATGCTTTTTTGCATATATGTTTTTGCCATGTTGGAAGTGAGACTTCAAGGTAAATTCCTGGCAGTAGGATTGTGGAATCAAAAAGGTAATAAATGTGTCGTTTTGTTAAATATTGCCAAATTTCCCTCCAAAAAGACTGTATGATTACATTTCTACCAGCAATTTAAGAGAGTGTCTTAAACATTCTTTTAAACAAGATGTGATGTTTCTAGAGCATTAAAACCAAAGTAATTTCAAAACCATGTTGTACAAGATGGCTCACACAAACAGGTGTGCACTTAATGGACTAAACTAGTTCAGCTGACATGTGATCTTCATTAGGAACAGTGTGGGGACTGAGAAACTCCTTTAGCCTAGAGCAGCTATTCAGTTGTAAAGCCTTCTTGCTCAAATATTGATTTGCTGCCTGTGAGGAAAAATTTATTTTGTACAGAAGTGTGTGGGAAAAGGGGGGTTGTTTTACATACACGGTTTTGTACATACGTGTCCTCATCATGGAGGTGTGTCTCCAGCATCCACTCCCACCTCTCTTGCTGACCATTCAGATGTTATTGTCATTTACTGTAATCCACAACCTTCCACAGAGCCTATATACTTTGAAAGAATATATCTCCACTCCTGGGTCTAGAAGTGGAGCCTGTGAATCAGACCTAAGCTGACAAGTCCAATCTCATTCCCTGATTGCTGTTAATGTTTCAGGTGTGGACACAGAACTCTATAAGAGCCAATGTACAGACTATGAATCTCACAAGAGAAAAAAGAAACTAGTTACTTGTTTGCCTAACAAAGACTCTCAATTAAACCAAGCTTGAAGCCTGTCTCATTTCTGGATTTCCAGCTATGTGACCCCATACATCCCATTTATTGTTTAAATATGTAAGAGTCAGGTTTTCTGTGACTTGTTACCAAAAACAAGTTTCTTTATACAATGAGAAACTTCAGTATTACCTATGAGCAATATTTCATAAATACATGCTATTCCCTAGATTTTTAAATGAAAACTAAGGAATAGATGGATGAAAAATACATAGCTTTGCGTAAAGCTTTTTCATTACAGAAGTTGAGTATTTATTGTGTTTTTGGTGTCATGTGAATTGATGATATAAGAGATATAGGGAAGTAGGAAGGAATCAATATTTTGTGCTAAATGCTGGGCTAGCTGTTTTAAGTACATGATTTCATTTAGTCATCACAACACTGTAAGTTTCAGAGTGGTTAAGTAACTTGTATCATAGCAATAAGTGACAGAACCAGGTTTAAAAAGTGTATCTGATGTCAAAATGCATGATAAGTTCAGAAAACTGGCCTTGGAATTCAAGAAAATTGCAACTCAATTGGTGAGAAAAGCTCTGTGCTATGAAAGAATTGTCTTAATATATGCTGAGTATTAAATGTGATTATAGACAATAAATGTTGCAGGAAAAGTTTCCTAGTTAAAATAATTATTATCATACTCCGTATTAATGTAGTACTTTAGTTCTTCTATCACCCACTTCTCTCTGTTCTAGAATGGACCAAGAATGGTTTTTTGGGAGAGGTTTATTGCAGAGCCTGTAGACAGGGTAACATTCATTCAGGTACTTGACCTGGTTGTGCATTTTAATTTTCACAAGAGGAATTTAACTTCAGACTTGAGACATAACCTTTGCTTTCTACTTCAAAGAAAAAACACAGTAGACTAGACTAGAACTAGACTAGAACTTCCTCAACTTCTTTGAACTCGTCACTCCAAAACTTATCTGCACCTGCAGCCACTCTTGAATCCTTGTTTCTGGTCACTGTGAAAAAGATGCCCTCTCCTATCTAAAGCTTATTTCTATACTTCCTCTTTTAGGTCCTGACTCCATCAAATATCCTTTCTCAGATTATGTATTTAACCATTAAGTCTTTAGAAGCTCTTTCCTGTCAGCAGTTAAATATATCCCAGTCTTTGCCTTCTTAAAAAAAAACAAAAAAATCCCACTTCTTTGATCCTATATATTTTTCTAAATATTGTTATCTCTTTCTTTCACAGCCAAGCTTCTTTAAAGAATTGTCTGTACACGTGGTCCTCGGTTCCCATTTCCCCTGAACGTTATCAACTCACTATAATCTGGTTAACAAAGTATCACGGGCCAAGATTGTACCTCAGTGTCCTCATCTTTTACAAATGGGGGTAATAACAGTACCTACTGATGATTAAGTAGGTTATTAAATATAAAGCACTTAGGGTAGTGCCTGACACATACTAAGCACTGTTAAGTGTTAACTATTATAATCATTATTTCTTAATTACACGGCTGCAAGAGTGTTAAGGATAAGAGAATTGAGAGAGTGCCAACCTCACAGTTTTGCCCAAGTAAACAACAGATACAGCTGTTGGAAAGTGAGTTTTTTTAAAAAAATACATTCCAGTAAATGACTTAATAGATTGTAAACTCCATCCAGGCATGCCTCCTATTCTGTGTAGTATTTCCAGAATTTAACTATCTCTTTTTCATATATAAATATCTTTCTCATATATGTGTCTCTGTCATACACACACAGTATATATATTATATATTATGTAATACATTAATATATAAATGGACACTCGATAGCCAATAATAATAGAATTCTCACACTCCAAAAAAAGAACTTGACAAATCCATATTTTTAAAAATCTTTTAAATTTTACTTTTTCTTTTTTTTTTCCAGAATTAACCATGACTCTTAAACACAACCAGAGGCTTTTAACCTAAGAATGGACCAAAAAAAGCCTGCTTGCTCAGTAAATGTATTTTTAATAGTTAAACAAATTAAGTGCATACTGCTAGTTTTACTTAGTAACAACGAACCGAAATTTATAACACAAATGAAAACAAAAGCTCCGGGAGTCCGTCCCGGTCTCCAAGGAGACGGAAGAGAGCGCTGTGGGGGACGCTGGAGCCTGGGTCACGTGGGCAGGGCACTCCCCCCTACGGCGCATGCTCGCCGCCTCCGCGGCCGAGGCCCGGCGCAGGGCGCACGCGCGCGGACTGGCGGGTCTGACTGGCTGTGGGGACTGCGCAGTCGCTAAATGGCGTTGGTGGCGGGAAGGTTGAGTTTGTTGTGCGCCGAGCCTTCGTGGCGATGAGTAGTGACTTCCATAAAGCCGAGTCTGGGACCGAGGTGAGAGCCGTCGGGGTGCGAGCGAGGGAGACGAGAACAGGGCTGCTGGCGGGCGAGGGGCGCTGAGGGAACCCGGAGGCCTGAGAGGACCTGGGCGGCGCGGCCTGGCCGGGGTAGACTCAGGCACCGGCGGGGCGAGGGCGGGCCGGGGGGCCCGCGGCGTGGAGACGGCGCTTCGCCCGGTCCCTCCCTCGCCTCTCACCTGTGCCCAAGAGACAGCCCTTTGGGAGCCGCGAGTCCTCCGGGGTGGGCGGTCCAAGCGGAGGCGGAGAAAAGTCGTTCCTGATAGATGGGAGGACTTAGTACAAGCCCAGATTGACGTAAAATACGAGGAAGTCTTTACTCGCGAGGATATTGTCCGAAACCTGTCACACTGTCAGACACGTAAGCTATGCGAGAGTAGCTAGGAAAAGGGAGGGGTCGCCAGTTGGCGCATTTATAGCTTTCTACAACAGGTGGTATTCTGAGTAGGTTGTCTCATGTTCTCCCTGTAGGAGTCCACGTTGCCTCTGCTTATGGCATCAAGCCCTCGCTACCACGGTATACAGTTGCAGCCTAAGTATCTCTAGAGCCACACAAACCATTTGATACCCTGCAAGAATTTATTCAGGAATCGAACCAGCAAGTGTCAAGCGTTCGCTGGTTAAGGGATACTAGTAAAGCCAAAGACGACAATCTCTGCCGTTAAAGAACTAGTAAAGGAGGCTCGGCTGCCTTAAGAATTACAGTAGGTGTACAAAAACATGCCGTCCAATAGAGGGGCGGGCATCGTGGAAGACTAGCTGCAGGAGGAGACGACTGAGCTGGCGTTTTAAGAACCATGTGTAGTGGTTGGCAAGGGGGGAATGACATTTAAAGCGGAGACAGTTGCAAATACGTGGGTTCTGAGGATCTGCTATGTAGGTGAGGGAGAGGAAGCAATTTTTAAAAAGAATCGGTAATTTTTTTTTTTTCTGTAGCGAGCCAGATAGTAAATATTTAGGCTTTGCAGGTCATGCTGTCTCTGTCACAACTACTCAATTCTTCTGTTCTAATATGAAGACAGCCATAGATATATAAACAAATAAGCATGCCTGCGTTCTAATAAAACTCTATTTTTAAACTTTTGGATTTGGCCTATTGGCCATAGTTTGACAACCTCTGCTCCTAAAGAGTAGATCCTTTTTCCCTTTAAGTGTCTTTGGGAACTGTATGGCCTCTGCTTAATTTGGACACTATTTTCTTTCTTTGCACATTCATCTACTCTGTGGGTTCCACTTGGAAGTATTATGTTGAGGGCTATATCTGAAGTCATAAGCTAACCTCAGAAACTGAATAAGCTACTTTAAAATTTTAATTCACTAGAACTACCTTATAAAATAGTTAACCTTTCTTGAGAATAGTAAGGAAAAGACACTTCATACAGGGTCTTCAAGAAAACAAAGTTGCAAAGAATATTTTTTTTAACAGATTCTAGGGATGCAGTTTATGGTAAGCCAGATAATGGGTGGGAAACATAATAAGCCCTTGATTTAAAGAAAGCAAGATAAATAAATAAAATGAAGAACAGCATTTCTCAATCTGAAAATTTCCAGTAGAACAACCCATTTTTACCTTGTTTTTGCACAGTAGCAATGAGGTTTTTATTTTTATATCTCACTGAGATTATTAGAAAAGATTCTGTGATTGTGGTTGTATTTTTTTTTTTTTTTTTTTTGAGACAGAGTCTCGCTTTGTTGCCCAGGCTAGAGTGAGTGCTGTGGCGTCAGCCTAGCTCACAGCAACCTCAAACTCCTGGGCTCGAGTGATCCTTCTGCCTCAGCCTCCCGGGTAGCTGGGACTACAGGCATGCGCCACCATGCCCGGCTAATTTTTTATATATATATCAGTTGGCCAATTAATTTCTTTCTATTTATAGTAGAGACGGGGTCTCACTCTTGCTCAGGCTGGTTTCGAACTCCTGACGTTGAGCAATCCGCCCGCCTCGGCCTCCCAAGAGCTAGGATTACAGGCGTGAGCCACAGCGCCCGGCCTTGTGGTTGTATTTTGGTATTATCCACCAAAGGACTTCCTTTGCATGTAGTTGTTAAATAATGGTGTACTTTGCATTTTCTCAAAAATGCTAATATGTCTTGAGTTTAATAGAAAATTGGAAGTGTCTGTCCAGTTTTGGTTGTTATGTACAGCAAAGCATACGTTTGCTTTTTAAAAAAAAAAATTTAAGAGGGTGTTGCTTTGTTGCTCAGGCTGGCATACAGTGGTGCAATCAAGCTCACTGGAGTTTTGAACTCCCGGGCTCAAGCAAACCTCTCACCTCAGCCTCTTGAGTAGCTAGGACTTCAGGGACCTGCCACCAGACCCAGCTAATTTTTAAAAAATTTTCCGTAGAGATAGAGTTGTTGTCTAGAGTGGTCTCAAATAGGAATACCTGGCCTCGGGCAATCCTTCTATCTTGGTCTTCCAAAGTGCTGGGATTACAGATTTGTGGCACTGCTCCTGGCCCTTGTTTTGTTTTGTTTTTTCAAACTGACCAGCCCCATTATAATCATTATTAAAGCAGTTCATACAGCAGAAAATTGCAGTAGTATCAAAGTGAAAAATAGGAAACTTCTTTACCCCCATTATAATTTCACAGGGCTAACCCTAACTTACGAATATTGTACATTTTTTCAGGAAGTGTGTAGTGACATTTTGGAGGCTGAGGTAGAGAATTCTGGACTGGAAGTTCAGAGACCTTGGTTCTAGTCTTGGCTCTGTCAGGAACAAGTTTTGTGATTTTGGATATCATTAAACTTTTGTAAAACAATGGTGGTAGAGTATGATTTCTCAGTTCCTTTACAGCTCTATCTCAAGAAGGTGGGTTCTTATACTTCTTTGTATCCTTTGCACTAACCACAGTATCTGCATAGTAAACAAGATAAATATTTATTGATAATAATGGCTGATTTTCTTAGGAAGAAAAGCTACAGGGTGGCCATTTTGCCAAAGGCAAATATTAAATAAGACAAATATTTAATATTTTATTAAAAAATAATGATTTGTTTTGTGAAACTACAGACTTTTATTAATAGAACAATACCTATCCCCTTCTGTTTTTGTTTCCCTTCTTACCTAGAATAGAATCCTCGCTCTATTGTTACAACTATTTCATTATAATTGTCATCAAATTCCTTGCCCCTGTGCCTCTAACGTACTCGCCTAACCTTGGTTAAACCCAGCTGTCCACTCAGCTGAACATTACTGGAGAAAACTGCAACTAAGCTGACTGATTTAAGTTCATAATCATCAAACTCAAGTGGACACCCAGTCCAGCTATATGTCTCTAGTAATTCACTTTATAGGCACTGTGGCCTACACCTATAATCCCAGTGCTTTGGGAAGCTGAGGCTGGAAGCTCGAGGTGGGAGGATCACTTGAGGTCAGGAGTTCAAGGCAAGCCTAGACAACATAGTGAGACCCTATCTCTTCAAATTAAAAAAAATTCCTTAAGGACAAGAATTGTGTCTGCAGTATATATATATCCCCAGCACCTACCTCAGTTTCTGGAACACAGTTGCGTGAAGTTTTTACCAATAAATATCTGTATAATTTGCAAGCTATATATTAATACTCCAATAATGCTGCTGCTGTTGCTGCTGCTACAAACATTTGAGACACCTTGTTGGCCTTAGAGTGTCAACTAAGAGAAATGGTTGAAAGAAGTCAGATGATTGCCTAGACAGGACCTCAGATTGGTTTGATCCTTAGCTTAATTGGTCTAAAAACTCAGTTTAGTCCCTGTACTCAGATTTGATTAGATTCAGTGATGCTGAGGTTATATAGCAAAGTAGAAAAATTCCAGGCTTTGGGAATCAAAAAGATCTTGGTTAAATCCTGGCTCTGGCTTTACTAGTTTTCTCATCTGAAAACAGAATAATAAATAGGGTTGATGTTGGCCGGGCGTGGTGGCTCACGCCTGTAATCCTAGCTCTCTGGGAGGCCGAGGCGGGCGGATCGTTTGAGCTCAGGAGTTCGAGAGACCAGCCTGAGCAAGAGCGAGACCCCGTCTCTACTATAAATAGAAAGAAATTAATTGGCCAGCTAATATATCTAGAAAAAATTAGCCGGGCATGGTGGTACATGCCTGTAGTCCCAGCTACTCAGGAGGCTGAGGCAGGAGGATTGCTTGAACCCAGGAGATTGAGGTTGCTATGACTTAGGCTGATGCCATGGCACTCATTCTAGCCTGGGCAACAAAGCGAGACTCTGTCTCAAAAAAAAAAAAAAAAAAAAAAAATAGGGTTGATGTGAAAAGTAAAGGAGATAATGTATATAAAGAGTGTACTGCTGATACCATAAGAAGCACGGATAGTAGCTATTATCAGATAGCTATTGTTATAATAACAAAACCTAGCAGATACTGATTTTCAATCCAAGTGCCAAATCTATTAATTTACAGTATTAGTGAAGCTGTCAAATAGACTAAACTTGTTGTGTCCACTGTGTATTCTTTTCCTAGTTAGGAAATTCTGCCTGAGAAAAGTTGCTTAGGGAATCAAGAAAAATAATTGAATTATTAATATCATAATGGCCACCATCACCAAGCTCTGATTGCCTGATGTGTTAATCTTTCCTAAAAAGGTTACACTGTCATGTCAGGCAGAGCTTATTTGGGTTCCCTTTGCCCTAGGGAACTTTTCCCCTTTACCTTTCTTTTTTTTTTTTTTTTTTTTTGAGACAGAGTGTTGCTTTGTTGCCCAGCCTAGAGTGAGTGCCCTGGCGTCAGCCTAACTCACAGCAACCTCAAACCCCTGGGCTCAAGCGATCCTCCTGCGTAAGCCTTCTGAGTAGCTGGGACTACAGGCATGCACCACCATGCCCAGCTAATTTTTTGTATATATTTTTAGTTGGCCAATTAATTTCTTTCCATTTATAGTAGAGATGGGGTCTTGCTCTTGCTCAGGCTGGTTTCGAATTCCTAAACTCGAGCAATCCACCAGCCTAGGTCTCCCAGAGTGCCAGGATTACAGGCGTGAGCCACC